ACCTTACGGTATTTGTACAAACTCACGCATCTTCCGTGTGGCATCTGCATAAACACCCATGCTCCTGCAGGAAAGTTTGCTCTGCTAGCACCTCTCCTTTCCCACACGCTGCTATGGAAAACAGAACTGTGTTCCTGAACCAAGGACATGCTTGAAGTTCAGCATAGGTTCAAAACACATACTGACAAACTCCATTTGCTCCCGCCTTGCTCTGAGATAAGATGGCTTGAACGGCATGTTTACCTGAACCCATCCAAGGAAGCCAGATAGAGGACAGCTCCAGCCTGGAAGCCAGGCAGTACTTTTAGCATAACACTACGTACAAGTTAAATTCAGTTTACCAAGCAGAACTATCTGGTGTAACACAGCTTAGGGATTACAGCTGCCTTGCATCTTTCTGTCCTTGTCAGCAAAGAAAATCCTTCAGAAAAGCACTTTCACACCACAGTGGGAATTTTAAGGGGAGGAGGAGATACCGTCATCACTGTGACCTCAAAAGGAGCAGTGTTAAAAACAAAGTACACATAACCAATGGCATTTCAGAACTGCTAGTGGAGGACTCTTTCTACAAGCACAGATCATGTATCATCTGTAAGTAGATTCTCACAGCGGAAGCGTGCCAGTAGAAGATACATGTCACTTCTTGGAAAAAATTTAAACCTGGCTGGTGAAGTTCAGAGTTTATTTTTGCTTAATCATGAACTGAGCACAGATTTATGCAAACTGCATTTAATTAAAATAGGTAAAATTAAGGGGAGGCTATCAAATACAAACTGGGGGTGGAGTGCCAGACTTCAGCTTTGCTACCTCAGTTGTAAACTCTTATGTCAAATAGCCTTGGATAGATAAACAAGTGAATGGATGGAGTGCATTCCAGTTTTAACTGCTCTGTTTAGACTGATGAGGGTACTACTACTAATTTGAAGACATTACAGTGGTTCCACATCCAGTGGCAGCACTGCGTGAAATAACTTTAGCAGACCTCAGACCTCATCTGCTCGGTATCATTCCTTTCTTAGTGCTAGCATAGCTTGTCCAAGCATACAGAGCCTGGATTAGGGAACAAATCTGCCCAAAATTTAACTGCCGCAGGCAGATTGGTTATTCTATTTCTAGTCTAAGTGTCTTCAACCGAGAAATACAAGATCTTTTCAGGACTGCTGAATTACTCCTACGGATTTATGTCCATAAATCCGCTGCAGGCCCCGTCCATCATAGGCAAAAGCTTAAGGAAGGGCTCTGACAGCTGAGCTTAAGTATTTTGTGACAGCCTATTACTCTCACCTAACAGCTCCATCGTCTCCAGGAGGAGACCTTTCTCATGGCAGAATGGGTGCTGGGGCTTCAGCTGCTCCCTTCCACTAGGTTACAATGCAATAAATACAAGTTCATGACAAAACGTCAAAATACAAACTGAGGGGCTGGACACAATCCAAGTTGTACTGTAAACTCCCTACAAGAGTTTGATTTAATCTCCAAAGAGTCCTCCTTTTAGCAAGGGCTAAAAAAAAAAAACACCCAAAATAAACAGAATACCCTAAAACAAACAAAAAGAGGACTACAGAACCCACATATTCCTTTTATAATGAAACTCTGACAACATAACAGCAAAAGCAGACTAACTGGGATTTTTAAAGTTAAAGTCTTTAATTCTTCTGCATAAAGACAAAATGCCAAAGATGTAACACATTCCCTTATTTACAATCATCATAAATCACATGGAAGCATGCACACTGGAACAACAAGGTTCTAAATATTACTTCTCAAAAAATGTCCTGTAGAGATGTGTTCCTTGGACACACACACTCCATGCTCTGTGGCGTGTGACTGAGCCACCCTTGTGCTGGGACACTACTGAACCCCATGCCTGAGCATGCCTGGAAATAACATTTTGGACGGGACAGAGTAGTTTCTGGGGAAGTAGCTTGCTTCCACTTCAGTAGCACAATGGGCTTTTGGCCCTTGGGTACACTGCCAGCCCCACGGCAAGGCTGCGTCATCCTGAGCACCGCCACAGTTCTGCAGTGGCCTTGTGAAGAGCCAAGCTGAACTACTGCAAAGAGACAATTCCCAGCTCTAACAGACATTTGTATCTCAGTACATGCTACATAAAATGCCACAAGGACTGTAAAAAATAATCTGGTAACTGGCACATGAATCTGGTCTAAACTCCACTGTAGCCTCGGCCCTCACTTTGACCTTCTGAGCACAGTGCTAGAGAGTAAAACAAAGGAGAGCTTATCTCAACACCGTCACAACCCTTAGCCTGGACACCCCATGCCTAAGAGCAGCTCCAAACCTGCAAATACTGCTGTTCACCTCCAATTCCTGTAGGAACAGCAGGCACTGAACTCATCCTCATACTCTCAGCAGGAGATTGCCTCTTCGGGTCAGGCTGCAACATGCATAAAAGTAAAATCCAGGTATTTAGGCTGTGTTGCTGTTCAAACAGTCACTCCTCCCCTTAAAGAGAGGGAGCTGATTTTGATAAACCATCTACCCTTCCTTTCTCTTCTCTCACTAGGCTTAGGCAAATGCTAGCTTAATATATCTTATCTCAGAGAACAGTAAATAAGCCAAATGGAAGATCACCCAATTCAAAAGCTAAGAACAGTTTGTCTTTAACAACTGGAGAAAGGTTGGAATTATCTACATTATTTTGAAGCAGTTCTTCAGGTTGGATGTACAATTCTGGTCCAGTAGAGAAAACAGGGTTTAACTCCTTGGTTTAAGGGGTGGCGCTCTTCAGTCTGACTTGATATTGGACCAATTCACCAGCATAACATGAGCGCACTCTAAGTAGCATGATCTCCAAACGGCAACAGCAGGATCCATCAACTGAAGTAGCCTTTACAGTATGATGTACATGGCATCTGCCAACGCAGGGAAAGCAGAAACATTCCCACAAAAGCTTTAAGGAACATCCATCATCGTAGCACAGACTTAATGGAATCTGAAGTTTTACACTTGAGGCAGAGCTTGCAGAAAACAATCTATCCTTAAAGATCTGGAGAAACCTAAACAAAAAGGTAGATAACAGCGTTTTATAAATATGATAAATCTAGTCATTAACAGCAAAACATTTACTATCTTAAGCTGCAGTATTACAGTAGCAGTAAATGGAACACAGTACTGCATATGGTGAGCTTAAAAGCACAGTATAAAAGACAAAGCCATACTGTCCATACTAAAGAAAGTGTTACAGATAGTATAACACTTTGAGAACATAAGTTATTGGAAAAACAAAGAGAATACTACATACCCTATGCTGCTGAAGTATTTGTCAAAGAGAAAATGAAGTAGTTGAGCCTATTTTCCCTAACCCCTCACATAATTTTCACCTAAATGTTATTAATTCATAAAATAAATTTTTGTCTCAATTCTAATTAATCTGCCATATCTTAAATATCCTACTAAGTTTTTTTTCCTTTAAAAAGCAACCAGATACATTCAAAACTATAAACATTTAACCAGGCTCCAAACAGCCACATTTATTTTTCCTGTTTAAGAGAGAAATTTTCTTTAAGCAAAAAGGTGGGTGGTGTGGAATTCTACCATTCACTTTCCACAGATGAAGTTCCTCCCATTTGAGAGTTAGAGCTCATCACATCTAAAAACCATGATTAAAGGCAGTGCCTCTCTCTTAATATTGATCTTTGCGTCCCAGGAAACCAATGTTTTGCTCCACAGAGAAGCTATTTAATTAACTTTCTACATTTTACATGTCACAAAGATAATTTTTCAATTAGAATGAGTGATTATGAACCCACTGAGTATAAAAACTCCTTATTAGAGACTTATTTACAACAAAGACAACTGCAAAGCAGCTAAATATCAACTATCTAGCAGACCAGAATAGAACAGAATAGAACTGTTTAGGTTGGAAAAGACCTTTAAGACCATCGAGTCCAACTGTTAACCTAGCACTGCCAAGTCCACCACTAAACCATGTCCCTAAGCACCATGTCTACACATCTTTTAAATACCTCCAGGGATTTATATCTCCACCAATTAAAATACTCCACCACTTCCCTGGGCAGCCTGTTCCAATGCTTGAAAACCCTTTCGGTGAAGAAATTTTTCCTAATATCCAATCTAAACCTCCCCTGG